AATATTAGGTAGCAGCCACACTGTTGGGACATTACCACATCTGGGAGCATTTCTCTTACTGAGGCATTTGCCTGCCATCAATTGTGCAGGATATTATAGAATGTACACACTGTTGATGTCTAGGACATAATGGAAGAGGAATTGTTACTGCAATTACATATTATTATGCTTTTCAGAAGATAATGTGGGTTCATTCATGTGAGTATTTTGAACTAGCAAATACCCTAATTGCTTACATGTCTGTTATAATCCTAAATCCAGTTGACATATCTGAGGTACTGTTGCATTTTAATCTGGCCACATGCACATGTACTCTTTATGATTTTCCTCTGACCTGCATGAACTGTGCAAACAAGGAACACAAGTGTCTTGCACATTGCCTTTGCAGTTTTGGTCTAAGAAAATACCCAGGGGAACAGAGAGACAGAGCACTGTAACCAAGTGCACTTTTTTCAGGAATGTAGAATTAGCCTGTGGAAGAGCAGGATAAGTGCAAATGATCTGATTATGCTGTAATGACAAATTTATGAAACGAAGAGTGTGTGCATTGTTTCAACTGTCCTTTCAAAACGTATTGGATTGACAGAGAATGTGTGGCAAATTATTCACCCATTCACTTAACGAGAAAACAAAGGGAGATGATTAAGAAACATCAGTATTCTGAAGCAGCAATCAAACTGACCCTGCCAAGGAGTGAAGAACAGCAAGCCCAGCCAAAAAGTGCTGCAGTCGTCTCGCTTTGTAGCTGCAGGTTTATGGCCAGCATTGTTTCAGGGACTCTCCTGAGGTAGCAAGCAGGGCAACAGAGATAACAGCTCGTTGCACGGGAACAGCATGGTGCCTGCGGTATTCTCGTGTTCACACTGAGTGACAGAAAACGTTTGGAGAAAAGATGTGTGCTTTTATAAATTCTTGCTTAATAATCCACTAGAGGGAGCTTATGTATAACCTCTGCTAGGCCAATTATGTCAGAGCTTGGTTTTGCATAATTGACGAAGGTAGTTATGGGGGGGGGTACCTGCTCTGCTGTTCCTTTCTCCACCTGTCACCTTGGGGCTCAGGAGTGGCATTTTTGAAGTCTCCAGTTCTAACCAAAATAGTAATTTGCTTTTTTCGAGTGGAAGCAGCATTCTTGTTGGCATTGGGTGAGATCTTCATCATCTCCAGACTCGAACCTGAGAAGGAGCAGCCACTGCTGAGTGAGGACTTAAAGCATTAGCAAGGCTTAACTTAACCTATCCTCTGTCTTTGCCTATTTCAATTCTGACTGTAAAACAATAAATCCTTTGCTATGATTCCCAAAGAAGAAACAGGCAAACTACCTGGATTGCAGATGTTGATCCCTTTTTATGTCAGCAGGACAAGGCTTTCAGCACAGTGTTTGCCTGGGAGTGCTTGCTTTCCAAGCGGAAACTCCGTATTCTTTCACTAGGAGGCAACTGGTATAAAATTTGGTGTCCTTCACAATATTTAACATGCAAACACCTTCGACTATTTCCTATAATTTTATCTAATAAAAGACAGGTATAGCTCTGTCATATCAGAAATATGAACTTTAGTTCAGTAGCAGAGATGCACTTACAATTACAATTCTAGCTAAATCTAGAGATAACACACTTTCAAGCTACATACCCACACAGTACAGTCTACCTGAGTAGTCAGATACATTATCAAAAAGCTTATCATAAAACTTGAAATTGCTGTATCCTTTACACTCATTTTGTTGCCTTTTTTTCTTTCTTTTTTTTTCTGTTGGAAGAGAAAACTTATGACTACACTTCAGCTGTCACCAGCTTTCAAGGTTATACTGATAGGAATGAGAAACATATTCCTAATCTGCATACCAATGCATTGAGAATGCAAAGGCAGGCTTTTTGCCATTGAATAGATGATGATAAGGTCTTAAGTCTTTTGAATTTCTTGTGTTGTACTTGTATTATCATATGATTTCTTAAGCTAGGAATGAATATGTAAATTTCTTGCCACTGACTTGCTCCAAAATAATGGACATTACACTTGCACAGTGGCAATTCAGAGTGTAAAATTGATTAATATTTGTTTTCAAAATGACATGCAATGATGTATGGATCCTTTTACAACTTAAATTAATACTTTAAAGAGATGAATGGTCTCTACAGAGGATGTTAAAGTTCAAGCTGAAAAATTTGCATATTTATATTACAACCAACTGATAATAATTGTCGAAACAGAATGTAATGTGGTTCGTTTTTCATTTTAATCTGGTTGTACTCAAACACAGGACCTCATTAACTTCCAGCAACTAATACAGCATTATCAGTCCCCATAAAACAGGCTTGCCTTGAATTTATGAATTTCAAAGACTATTTCCAGTGGTGAATCCCTGTTAAACACTGGGTCAGTCACTAGCATGTGAACTCCATGTCATGTGCCGCAGAAGCATGAAAGTTACCTGGGAAAAGTGCTTGAGAATCCCATGGCCAGTTGCCTACTTGTTAGCTGACACCTGGAGCCAAAATTAAGGTGTGATACAGACATATTGCCTTTGATAGCTCACTCAAAGTTGGAATTTTTTGCTCTGAATGACCAAAGTCAGGAAATGTAACTTCTTCCACTTACTAGGTTAGGTAATATTCTGTTACACTAAAAAAAAAAAAAAAAAGACCAAGACATCTTTCCTTAAGATCTAAGTTTCATAAAAGGAAAATGCAGAACTTCTGATAGAGTAAATAAGTAAACTTGGAAGATATTGAGGGTACAGCCCAAGTAAATACTATTCCACTTGTATCATAAAATAAGCTTTCTATCAGCATGTCTTAGGTAGTGCCTTATAGGTATTCTTGTAGCAGATATATCAGGAAATCTCTACAGTACATCTCTAGAAGAATGGAGAGTTAGCAAGAACCTTCACAGGTCTGTGAATTTCTTGTTGTGAAATGGATATTGAATCTTCTAATAATGATGCTTATTTCTTTAGTTCACCAAAAGCTGATGGTTATAAAAAGAGGAGGTATTACTTACAGTGCACCCTCTTCAACTTTTTAAAAATATTTCCACACAAGTGCTAATAAAAGTATGCTGTGATTAGCTTATTTCTATCAACAAAATTACTTAGGAGAAAATAATAAGCTACTTTTTCTATGCCATCTCATATTTTGACAGCTAATATGAACTAAAATTCCATGGGCCTAGGAACTCACATTGATCCATCTGTTCAAGAGATCTGGTGTATGGCTGGTCTGGGAGGGTGGGAAAGCAAATGTAACTTTCCTTTAACACTATAACAGCTCCAAGTAACTCGGGACTCAAAAGGGGTGTCTGACAGCTGGCAGTAGCTGGAGTATGGATGCATTTGCAATCTCCTAACTATATTCTGACAAGGAAGAGGGTAACATTCCTAAACTAACTTCCTGTAGCCCAGATGTTGTTTTTAGGCAAAGAACAGGTCACTTAGATCAGTCCCACGGCTGCTTTGTTCAGTACTGGGAAAGTCCCTAGAGGCTGAGAAAAAGAGAAGGAACACTACAGAAACTCTGTAAATAACGTAAATGTATACTTTGCTAATAAGAATAACACAAACTGTTACTTAAATAAATTAAAAGCTCTAAAATGTCAATACCTAGCATTATAACTGTTATTTCCTAAGAAGCCGTCCAGATTTCCCATTACAATCTCACAAAAAACTGTTTTGTAGACATTCCTAGCAGCTGAAAAACACCTGAAGGACAACCTGTTCCAGCAGAACAGTGATTGGACACTCATTTGTTGCAACTTTATAATTTGACTCTTTGAATGCTCCTCGCAAAATGGGTCCACAGAATAGGCCAGTGAGATGCCTTGTTGAATTCCCAAATTTGTTACTGAATGAGCTATGTTGCATCCAGGCCACCACAAAACTTAAAAACAAAATCAAAAAAAGGACAGGTAAAGCAGTAAAGCCTCTCCGTCAGCATACAAACTCATAGATCCTACATGTTGGGAACTAAATGATGACTAAATAATTGATTTTTCATCATGAAGGGAATGTACCTTCCTACAGAGCTCTGTAGTGGAACCTGTGCTGTAATATACTCATAACTGACTTAGAGAAATGAGGGAGTGCATATTATGGAGACAATTTAATATCTAGTAGAATATTACCTAGGACAGTGAAAACATAAACTGATTAAGACTTGGTGAAGAATCTCTGAGCAACTTGTTAAGAAAATGGCTGAAGAGACAAGATGCTGACAAAAGCAAACATTGCACAGGTGGGGGAAGGGAAGAGAAAACAATACCCCAAACCAGAAACACAGTATGCAACCCTAAATAATTTATTATCACTTAGCAAAGTGGGAGAGTAATTATGGACAGTAAACATTAACTCAATGCTTAGGTGAGGAATGGAAACATATTATATATACACAGCATCCCTGAATCATGAATACTTCTCGGTGTTTGATCTCAAACGTGGTATTACAGAATAACATAGAGAAAAATTATAATGACAACAACATTTTTGAATGGTTTTTGAAAAATTAATTAGATAAGATTCCTTTAATTAGGACAGGAAAGCTTGAGAAAGAATTTGTGAGGAATCTATAAAAACATGCCTTAGCATGGAAAAGATTAATTGGGAATAAAGTCACCTTTTCTCATACTACATCAGTTAGGGATCAATCTGGGAAATTACAAAACAGCAGGTATATAGAAATAGATATCTCTTTATATGTTTCCTACTTTATCAAAACATATATTTGGATGTTAAAATTGTGTGTGGGTTCAGAAGGTGACTGGAGAAAATTCAGACAAGAAATGCCCATCAGAAATTCTTAAACACAATGATGCAGATATAAACAGCAGTCCCTGAACTCCGGGTTGCTGGAAACAGTAAGACTGCCATGAGGAAAGCTTCATTTCATTGCTCCAGCCTTATGCCTGTTTTTGCAAACATCTGCAGGAGACAGGATGTAGGGCTTGCACAGCCACTGCTGTGCTCTGATGGACTGACGGAATGGCACAGAACAGGAACACAGGAACGTTTGTTCTACTCCAGTCACAGCTCAGCAGATCACAGAATATTTTGGTTTTCAACCCCACCAACCATACTGGCAAATTTTCTTACTGCAGCAAAATTCTTTGCCAGTGAAACCGGGCTTTTCCAGTACAAGTTCCAGCAGTCCCTGTGAGGCAATGAGGGTGAGTTAAGCCATCAGAAATATATATTTACACGTGGAAATTGTTAGCAATACTGCTTTGCTTTTCCCCAGAGACAGCTCCACTGCAACAGCCTTGGAAAACACATGCACACACACACACACACACAGAGGGAGAAACAATCAATAGATACACTTAGAAAGCCTGTTATACCATGTTGTGCTTCACGGATTTTGATAATATCAATCATAATTGAGTTAGATATAATCCATCTGACTTTCAGTGTGCTGGGGTCAGCCGGGGACGCAATGCCTCACTTCACATCAATTACCACATATAGTAAGGTGGTGGTAAGCAATTCCATTTGATAGTTTGCAGCTATAAATAATTATATGGCAATAGCAGTAAAGTTGGCTCTTGGGCACAATACAGAATCATGAATTTTCATTTACTTATATCTCAGAAGCTGTTAGGCCTACTGGTTTGAAATGTGAACCCCTGGTTAGGTATATCAGTCTTTCTATTAATACAGAATATGCAGCTGGTAGGTGCTTTTGAATGAACATTTTATGCTTTCTCTTACTTCCTGAGAATATTTTCATTACAAATATGACCACATGATACATAAGGATTGATTAGAAATTGCTATGACAAAGCAAACTTGGTTTCATTCTCCTTTATTATCATGTTTCATCTTTCATCCAGTTTAGGGCCTATCCCATCCAAGTCTCTGCAGGATTTCAGTAAGAAGGTGTTTTTTACATGCTGTATAATAAATTCTCAGCAATTTGAAAACATACAGAGTAAAGCAGGTTTGTTAATCAGAAGAGTAGCGTAGAAAGGTTGCAAAAAAATCAGAGATTTTATTTACTTCCTTGCTTTGTCTGGACACCTGTTCCTTTTAAAATTCTGCTCTTTATGACATATTCTATGTTTTAAGAAGATTAGTCAACAGAGGTAGAGTGGACATAGATTAGGAATAAGGTAGGAATATGGAATGGAGTTTAGCTGATTTAAATGTGAAGATCAGAAAAGAACCAGGCCAAGGGACATCTAAGGAAGGCTGGACAAGTACAGTAAGAACAGGATGATGAAGCAGAGAACTGGAGGAATTACAAAAGCCCAGTCTTCCTAAACACAGAAGTATCTCTCTGGCCCATAACACTGCAACAGAATTCACTCGAAGTTTTAAAAGCAATATAGAAGTGAGGGTTGGGAAGTGTGAAGATTCAAGAGAGTCTGAGAATTAAATAATTCATTTACCTTTGAAAAAACACCGACTTACACAAATGTAATAGTCAAACCTTTTCCTAAAAGTGAGGAATATTAGGGGATGGGGGGCGAGGGAGTCTCCATGTCCACTCCTACATGTGGCATGGGTAAGAAACGAAATACCCAATAAAGTCACATTTTGGATGTTTTTCTAGATTTGAACTGTACTGAAATTTTAAGGAACACCTCCTATGCATAACAAAGTTTTTATAGACTAAGAATTTGATTCAAAATTAGCAAAGAATCACACCCTCCCAGTACCTGTCCACTGGGAACTTACATTCTTGACACTTCAAAAAATTAAGCTTTACACTATCTTAGAGAGAGTGTCTCGTTGAATAATGCTTAGAGTCTCTGCAGAACTAACATGCTGTGATTCAGTGATTCTTGGCTTATCAGAAGACGGACAAGGCTGTGAAAGTGAAACATCCTGGTCTGTGGTCATTTGTTCATGTACCACATACATCTGACAAGAAGAAACCCATCACGACCAGCAGCTTCTGCCATACACTGGATTTCACATCGATCACAGGATGGGTACAGGAACACTTCACACTCTGTCCTAGAGATTTCTATGGTAGAACAGGGGCTAATTTCACTGGTAATCTTATTTTCAGAAGTGAATATGCCATAAACAGGTGTTGTAGAGCATTCCCACAGAACACTACCAGCAGTTTACAGAGTTGCTGGGGCTGGAGGTCCTGTACAGGACAACGACAGGAATCAAATGCTGTGAAATGGGGCAGCAATGGCCATGCAAGGCCAGAAAGGGTTTAACAGTGAAGAACAGAAAAAAGATGCACCATCAGCAAAAGGTTACCATGGGATCTACATTTTAGGAAAGCTTTTCTCTTTCTTTCACCCTGCCCTGAAGACCAGTTGGGAAAACAATTAGCATTTTGAACAGTAAGGGGAATCAAAAAATGTTCAGTAACCTGAGAAAGAATTAACATAGGAAAAATTCTTCTAAACAGGAGGAAGATTAAATGCATAAATGATGTCATAGATATTTGAACAAGAGTCAATGATATAAAGAAAAGGCAGATTATATGTCCCAAAGGAATGCACAGTTGCCACTAATACTAGATAAATCACTAAAAAACATTTGAATAAAAAAGGGAAGGCTTGCTGGCTGATCAGGTGAGAACTATATCCTTAATTATGATTTGACAGGATAGATCTAATTTTAGGATTGCAACCTATGCAAAAATTATGGACCAATGGATTTGGGAGGCCCAGGTTGCAGCCCACAGAGCAGCATCTTGCTGATCGGAGAAATGGCATTTAGCAGCGTGAATTGAACTGCAATCAACAAGGAGCCTGATTTGTGTTCTAAATTGGTGTTTAGCAGCATGATCTGAACTGCAATCAAGGGAGAACTCATAGCACTTTCTAGGGGGAGCAAATGGATTGTTTCCAATCTCATTACAGAAAATATTTGTAGCAGCTTAAATTAGATTGGAAAATATCCCAAATTATTTAACATGAGATCTGTAGAAAAAGAAATTTTTCAATATGTTTTAGAGAAAAAAACATGCATAAATGTACAGGTTTTAGTAAAAGATTCACTCTAAATATGTCTTTTGTTATTTTTCATATTATAAAAGGAAAAATGTCTGAAGAGCCATTGCAACATAACAAGTATGTATTTTGTGTCTGATTTTTTAACTCTTCTTTCACTAATTTCTCTGCTCTATAACATGCTGCTACACCTGCACAAGTTGTTGTTTGTGTTTTTTTCAGCAAAATATAATGCTTCCCAAAAAAATTGCAACACATCTTGATAAGAAAGGTATATTGCCTTGTGTCATAGGCCAGTTTTCTGATGTCACTGCTCAGAGGGCTAAAGATCAGAGCATCAAGTAATAATCCCTAGGCAGAAATATTATTCAAGAATTTGGTGGCCCTTCCATGAACCTGATGCACTGTACATCATCCCAGTTGGCACTGTTTTCCCTGTAATCATGCCATCAATTTGATATTATACCCCAAAGCTAATATTGCACAATATTCTCACAACTGAATATTTTAACAACCACTTCCTATGTTGGTTTTGTATCTTTTGTGTTTGTCTCATGTTTTTCTTCTTCTTCTTCTTCTTCTAACTCAATCAGAGCCAACGGTCAATCTGAAGATCTGGCTACCCGGCCTGTTGCCATACCTTTGCATATTCATGAGTAAAATCTTTCCATATCCACATGGCAAACCTTTCAAACTGTCATAAGGAAGAAATAATCACCTTTTCTTTAAAATCAAACAAAGCCCACCAGAGCTGTGTTCTTTGTATAATAGTTAACATTGTCACTAGTAATCAATTTATTTTACTGGTAAAGACAGTATTCTCATGACAAGTCAAAGACCTTTGGAAACAGTACATCTGTGCCTGCTATTTAAGCACACACAGACACAAAGAAGCAGAATATATTAGAAACAAAAAATATGTCAGCTTGTATAAAGGTCCCATTGTTTGCTCTACCAGAGAGGGATTGTGCCATAACATATGACGCTGAATGTGCTTTTCTTGTTCTCCAGCCTTCATAATAAAGTATTTGATGCAAATACTCTAATCACATGGAGAAGATGCGGATGTTAGTTGTCCTTCCTTTCATTGCTATTCCTGCTGCTCAAGAAATATATTTTTATGAATATTAAAAAACCCAAACAGTAAATTGATGGAATCCTGCTTTAGCGTGTTACTTTTTAATAGCAGGTGCTTGATTCACACTTGGCTCAACACGAGCCCCTCTGCCAGACACTGAAGCTACATTACTGCAATGTTCAGAAAATGGCACCTCACTTGTGGCTTCTCCATTGGGCTGCTGAATTATTTTGTATAGGATAAAACAGAAGAGGCAAGAAAAGGCACAGGGACCAGCACACACCCTACACAAATGTATTAAATTGCTCTGTATAGCACTGTAACTGTATGCAGCACTTCCTAATGGGTAGTGCCCACAATTTACAGAAAAAAAATAGTTTTCCAGAGGTGTAGGAAGAGGTAGAATAGGTCAGTTCATGCATTAATAACACTTCCTCCTGAGCAGGGGAAGTCTAGGGTGCAGCTTCCGATACCCAAAGTGACCCTAAGTAGGAAGGAGCACATTGACCTTTAATTATGCTGCATGGACCATAGAATCATCCAGTGCTAAAACAGTTCATCCAGTTCAATATTTCTGTTCCTGCTCACTCATTTATGAATGCTTGACAAAGAATAGAAAAGAGAAGGAAAAGGGCAGGAATAACTATGGAGAGGACTATGGCCTGTAAAACAAGGACTGGAGGCAGAAAGGAGCCGCAGCAGCCTCTATCCTAGTCACATCTCAAGGAGTTTTGCAGCAGCTTTCTGGATTACAGGAGAGCTTCCAGATTTCTGCTTTGGTTTTGTTCTTTCCAAGTCATTTGGTAGAACTATAATAACTCTTCTCTGCCTCTCTAGAACTGGAATGAAAGAACAGGGCAGGCATATACTCTTCTGCTTTCCCTCCCTGGGCACTTACTCATTAATTGGGCTGTTACATACATGTCTACTCGAGAGCATTGCATGCACTTAAGAAGCACATGGGGCTTTAGAAAATCCATAGCTTCCATGTTATATTATCAAATTTCATATTTTTTTCCTGATGGAAGCCAAGGAAACTTCACGTGTGTGTGAGTCAGCCACTGCAGAAAGCCATAGTGCACCAAAATCAACTTCAAACCAGCACTAGTCAAATTGAATGGACTAAATATTGCCTGCTACAGAATGCAACCAGTA